GGCTCTTTTGAATCTAGATACATAATAAGTCAAGAGTGGCCCAGTGTTTATCTTTTAGAGGACAACTCTGGCGGTTTTAGAATTGCGGGCCTTGGCCACTTTGGAGTTGACTGTGGCGATGGTATAGGAAACACACTCTAGTTTAAGTGGCATAAGAGGAAAGAGCAGGAGCTTCTACAGGGAGGAGATGTCGGTCCCTTCTTTGCTCTGCTACTTATTGGCTGGGTGATCACAACCTCTCCGGGCTGCTTTCTCCACTGCAGGGGATAATGATACCTATGAATGAAGCTAGGACAATTCCTTGACAAGTGGAAGGAGGGAAATGGAGACAAAATAGTTAAACAGATGCCCGAGCAATTAGTAGCCAGCTAATAAATCACAAAACCCTGTCCTCCCTAAACAAGGACACAGGAGCAGATGGTTTACATCTCTCCTCCCCAACCAGAGAGCAGGTAGCTTAGCCACCCTAGTCTGGGAGATGGATAACAGAGGCCCAGTTAGTGCCAGCTAAACCCAGGAATGGATAAAGGCAGGGGAATCCATAACAAAAGCACCAATTTTAGCCAAACAAATCCAAGATGGAGGTGAATCTGACCAGAAAATGATCCCAAACTCCGCCATATCCTCATTTCGATGCATCACGCCTGGAAAGCTGATGAATATTCTGTTATGATCCTCCCCTAAAATTCCCGCCTTTACAAAACAGATAAAAGCCCTCAAGACAAAGGACCCAGTGAGCACTCTCCCTTGAGCATCTGTGCCTCCCGTTCCTCAGGCGTGAACTTTTACTTTCTTTCTCTTAAGCTCCAATAGCCCTCCTCTTGTCTAGCTTCTCAGTAAGCCAGAAGCAGCTCCACCTCAGCTCACTTCTGTCCCTGTAGCCCAGCCTAGCTCGCCTCTCTTGGTGTGAGCTTGTTCCTTCTACCTAAGCCCTTCCTTTGTTCCAGTGTCCCCAGCTTTAATAAACATACTCTCAAAATTACCTGAACCCCTGTCTGAATGAATTTCAAGAACCCACACATTCCAAGCCATGCTGAGACAGATCCACCTTGGCCCCATCCCTTTCCAGTGACAAAAGCACTTAGCACTGAACCTGACTCTATTAAGGAGCCATTTTTGAATTTTAGACCCATTTCCCTCTCCTACTTTACTTTTCTTAAGCAGGATTTCATTCACCTCAATAAAAGTCCTTAAGACTTTAAGAACTGTATAAGAATGACTGTAATACCAAATGGATCTACTTCCTCTAAGTCAACCAAACTTCAATAAAGGCAGTTATAATATCAGTGGTTCTCTCTGAGCGGTGTCGGGGATAAAGAAATACCTTAGCTGTCAAATCCAAGGAGGACTGACTCAGCTCTTCTTTCCTTCCAAAGAAGATAAACTGCATCTCCTGCAATTTGCTTTTTTGCTAGGGGGTTTTTATTTCGTTTTCAAACCAGACCTCCAATGCAAAAGGCAAACACTCCTACATATACATTAAAAGGGGCTATGATGAGTCCCATAAAGGTTTGGGCTTTTCACTACATTCTGTTGCAAGAATATTAGAAATTGATATGAAAGGCTGAGAGCTTAAAAATTGCACAATAGTGCATATTATTCAATTGCAAAACGCAAAATTGCAGCCCATCCCAAGCCTCAGCTCAGCTATGAATAGTCACACACTCAAGTGCATCTCAGTAGTGACTGAAAGGATAGGGGCCCTCAGCTCCTGAGGAGGCATAAAGATTTCATTATCATATCAATGGCCCATATGCAAAGTTCTTGATAAAAATAAAAACGATCATAATCCAGAGGCGGGAGATAAAATGTGAGAGTTTGATGTGTGTAAACAAATCAAAGGTATTTAGAGTCAAGCTACTTAATCTGTGTGAAAGCATTGCCAAGAATATAAACATCAGAACAGCCTTGGAGCCAGAATAGGAAAGAAATGAGAGGGTAGAAGGAACTCTAAAGATTATTTGCTACTTTTCCCTGATTTACTATAATCCAGCCATGGTGGCCTCCTTTCAGTTCTGTGGACCAGTCAAGCTCAAAGCCTCTTGTCTTAAAGTCTCTATAAATCATCCCTCTGCCTCTGCACAGAGGCCTCTGGTAATAGTCAGGATTGTCTCCATTAAGCTGCATTAACAAATAGCTTCCATATCTCAGTGGCTCAAGGCATTTATAGTCTGTTGTTGTTTTTTCATGCTACATGTTTAAAGTTGGTTGGCTGAGGGGGTCTCTGTTCTTTGAAGCCATGCCAAGTTCTAGGTTAAGGGAGCAATGATGTCTTGACCACACCCCGAGTCAGAATGCCACAGGGAGCTGGAGCAACAGTTAAATGCTCCATGAAGGAAATGGCACATGTTGTTTTGAAGCATAACACATTGGCCAGACCAAATCCCAAGGCCCGTGAAACCTCAGGGAGACCAAGACAATGCACTCCTATCATGTGCTTGGGAAGACAGGAGGATAGAAATAGCTCTCTTGACTCTCACAGCTCCTCTGACCAACCTTTTGGAAGTAGATTCTAGCTCTTCACTGCCTTAGCTCCCCTTTTGTATTTTTCATAGTGCTTATCACAATTTGTAATTGCATTATTTACTTAATAAATAATGTTTTGTTTTCAGTCTGTTTCCACTATCCTATATAATAAAGAAGTAATATGCAAATTAACCCTCACACTCTCACAAGATGGCTGCCTACAACCAGGCTGACAGGGGGGTTAGTGAAGGATGACCAAATGACTGAACAGCAGGCTGCGTGGGGTGACCAGTCCGGCAGGGGGCCAGGAGGGGC